TATTAAAAAGCAATTGGTATTAGGGGGAGGAGTTCAAAAAAGAAACTAGGAGAATAAACTCAGACAACTGCCTCTGGTCTCCTAAACAAAATTTTATATGGTCTCACAATGTAGTTCAGGTTGGCTGTGAACTCACCACGTAGCCCAGAATTTCCAAATTTCGTCAATCCTTCTGCCTCCACCTCCCAAGTGCTGAGGTTACAGGCATGCACCCCCCACCCCTCCAGTTTAAAGCAACTTTTAGCAAACAGGGATCAACTGATTCTTTTAAGCTTTTGGATCCCAGGAGCCACTCATTAGTCCAGCACTCACATACCTGCCTCTGTGACTCCTGGCAAACACCTGCGTTAGCAACTATTAGCTTGGGTAAAGGTGACAAGGGAACAAGAACCTGGAGGATTCTGGCTTCTTGGCCATGCTCGCTTCCAAACACTGTAAATGTGGATTCCACTACTAAATGCCATGGAACTTGCAGGTTAACGCTATCACCACTTTTGACTAAGGCACCCCAAGTTTTCTTTTCTTTCTTTCTTTTTTTTTTTTTTGTGGAACTAGGGATTGAACTCAGGCCCTTGCGTTTGCCAGGGAAATGTTTATTCTACTGAGCCATCTAATGGGCCTCCCAAGTTTTCTAATGTATAAAAAAATTTCCTTTTGGGGCCAGGGAGATGGCTCAGTAGAATAAGTGCTTCCCTGGCAAGCATAAAGGTCTGCGTTCAATCCCAAATCCCACCAAAAAAAATAAAAATTTCCTTTTCAAAATATAAGGAACCACAGGTGGTTATAGTTTTATAACATTTTATTAAGAAACTAAGGCAAAACAACAGAATTCCAAAAAATTAAGATACAGAATTCTAATTTTAAATCTAAACATATATGAAATCTATACCAAGAACTAAAAATCAGTTTAACATTATTAGGAATAAAGAGGAATGGCTAAAATGCATTCACAGTAATTGTTTCTTCTTCACTAGCCTCAGATCTGTCTTCTTCCTGCTTTGCTTGGACGACAGAATTTTCCTTATCTACCCATCTATAGCCTGTAACTTCAGAGGAGCTTTCATCTTTCTACAGAGTTCGTCTCTGTTCCTCAATAAATACTTGAGACCCTGCCAATGAACTCAGTCATGTGGACACAAAGATGAGTTCATCAGAGGTCCTGTGCCAGATTAAGGGAGCCAAGACACCAATAAATAATCAATAAATATAAATCATTTTACACAAAATATAAAATCATACAGCATGAGTTAATTATAGATAACAATCAAAGCTAAGAACTGGGGGTAGTGGTGTATACCTGTAATCCCAGTTATTCAGGAGGCTGAGGCAGGAGGATAGCAAGTGTCTGAGCCCAACATAAACAACTTGGTGAGATTCTGTCTCAGAAAAGATACAGGTCTAGGGATATAGCTCAGTTGTAGAGTATTTGCCCAGCATTCACAAGGTCCTGGACTCATTCCCCAGTATTGAAAAAAAAGTGTGTATAAATAAATAATACACATATTAGGGAAATTTCAAGGAAGGAAAGATTATGTTTAGCTAGAGGGATGGAGGAATGCTTATGAGAATAACATGTGGGTTCAGTATGGACTATCCTTTCCTAATAAAGGTTTTTTGGGGGTTTTTGGCAGAACTGGGGATTGAACTCAGGCCCTTGCGCTTGCCAGGGAAGTGTTTATTCCAGTGAGCCATCTCCCCAGCCTAGCTAATAAAGGTTTTAAAGTGGTTCTGTTTACCACAGTCCAAGGTAGTAGTCTTCAATTCTGGAAAATAATTGTTTCACCACTAATCTGCAGAACTCTTTTAAGTTTCTGTCTCTTCAAACTGTTCATTTCTTAATTTTTTTTGTCTGAGACAGGGTCTCACTATGTAGTTCAGGCTGGCCTTGAACTCCAGTGATCTTCCTGGCTCAGCCTCCCAAGTGCTGGGATTACAGGCATGCACCACCAACCCTGGCTAAAATATTTTTTTAAATACTGTACTACTGTTAGTCTATGTAAACATTTGGAGACTTAATTATAATTTCTGTAAGATTGAAAGTTTTATTATTTATGAAACTCCACAGTTGAATCTAAAGGTCAGAAGATTTCTAATCATTAAGCCATGATTTCAAATATGCAACAAGGAAAACCCTACTTGCTTCAGGTGCTTTATCAAACTTGCATTTATATTTATGGAAGAGATGAAAGAAATGCTTATTCAAAAGTCAAATGTCAAATGATGGAAAACAGAATTCCTTGTATGAAAAATTTTAATTATGAGCCAACAAACATTACACAATTTAAGCCTTAATTTCTTTCCTATGAAACCAGATAATTCAAACAGTTCAACTCAAATATGACAGAAAACCGTAGTATGAGTAAGAATGATAGTAATGTTCGCTTCCACATCTGCATGCTTCATTAGAGGACCAAAGGAAGTGCTCCCAGTTTCCCAAGGCAACACAGATTCAATTATACATTTCTCCTAACCACAGTTGCAGCTGAAACACAACAAACACTTCACTCACAGTACAGCACTTCCCCATTATTGTTTCTTTGACCCTCAATATCCTTGTGAGGTAGTGAAGGGAGGGAGCAAGAATTCTCTACGTTGCAGATGAGAACACTCTAGGTGAATTTTAATTTAATGGTTCTCAACATTGCTGGCATACTCAAAGCATCAGGAAATTAAAAAAAAAAAAAATCCTTATGACCAGGTCATATCCCAGACCAACATCAGAATCTCAGGATATGGGACCCATGTATAAATATTAAAAAAATAAAAATAAACAAACAAACATGTTCCAATGTGACATCCAAGCACAGCCAAAGCTGAGACCCATGATGTAGGGGATTTTACTAATCTTCAGGTGGACAGTATCTTCTATCTCTCAGCACTGGTGGAAAAGAACCGCCTTGCAAGTGCAGCAGTCTGTTTTAGTCACCTGCAGAGGACAGCTACTCCCTGTCTCTAGTGATAAAGCCACTCATTGTGTCTTTCCCCTGATGCTCATGCTGTGATCAAACATTTTATAGAACTTTGCAAATGGGTAAGGAGGGAATTCAATTCTTTTAAGTAAGAATGGCTTATTGTTAAATGTTTAGGTGCTCTCTGATCTTAGGTTCAATGGAGAATAACCATATGTTTCTGTTTTCCAGTCAGCACCTTCAAAATGTGGTTACAAATGAATGTTTACCAACAAGACCCAAGAGAAGTTATAAACATAACTCCTAGAAAAGCTCTGGGAATTGGCCATACCACGACCTGAAAAGGCAACAAATACTTAACAGGACATGATCACTTTTTAACTAATCTTTAGCCTAAACTAATTTTTTGTTTTGGTATCATGAATAGAACTCAGACCTTGCACTTGCCAGGCAAGCACTTCTGCCACTGAGCTATAACCTTTGCCAATTCTCTTTTTCAATCAAATTTTACAATGTCAAACTGAGTTGTTCTACCCCAAAAAAGTCAATTTGTGTCAACTATATTCTCTAATACATTTAATGTATAATTTCACTGTATGAGTTCCTTCTTGACATGAATATGAAACCAAATCTTTAGCTGGGTGTGGTGGAACATGCCAGCAATCCCCGCACTCAGGAGGCTGAGGCCAGAGGGTCAGTGAGGGTTCGAGGTCAGCCTGGGCAACACAGTGAGTTCAAGGCCAGTCTGGACTGCACAGTGAGACTCTGTCCCCCACAAAAAAGAACTTGAACAAATTTCACCTTTTTAAAGGACATACCACATATACATAATAAATACTTGTAAACCTTTCAGGCAGCAAAAACAGGTATTTGTTCTATGGCTGAAATCTCCTGCTTCACAAGAATATTGATAATTTTAATTCTCAAGGAATAAGCTGTTTGCTGTTCCTAATTTTAATAGATTTAAGATAAGCTATACATATGGCAGTAATTTAAACAGTACAAAAATCTTGCTTGCAGCAATTATGTGCCTAAAATGTATAATTTCAAACAGAAAGATGTTTTGTTTTTCTTCTAACAAAAGAAAAATCTCAGCTCATGTGTGTTGGATTAATTCAAAAGAATATTAATGAAGAGCTAGATCTTATCAAATAGGAAGTAGTATCAAACTCTTCTGCAATTAAACTTTCAAAATATTGCCACCTGAAGTTTTCAGCACAAGATGTTGGATTCAAGTCCTGTGGGAGCAATGACCTTAATGAGATTAAGAACATTCTTAACCTGGACTCAGGTTGGCACTGTTTCATCAGATGGGTCGTAAACATTTTCTTGATTGCCCCAGTGAAGAGTCAGAGGCTTAGGGTTTTACACGATGTAAACAATATGAAATTAGTTTTGATAATACATATAGCACTATAAAGCTAGAAAATAAAAACCCATTAATGAATTCTCAACTAGCATTCATAGTAAGGACATTTTCCATTATGAGACACTTTCTCAGAGGGCCAAGAAAACTGGGTATCAAGAGATGCACATTTTCCTATTGTGTTTAGAACACCCTTACTGACATACATAATTAGAAATAGATTTACCTTTCCTTCAGAATGAGGATTATTGACTATAACTTTTTTTTGGGGGGGGTACTGGGGATCGAACTCAAGACCTCGCGCTTGCCAGGCAGACAGGCCACTGACCTATCTTCCCTGGCCCTATTTACTGTAATTTTGATTTTAAAAATATGAACAACCCAATGATGACAGACTAAGAGCTATGGGAATCTTTAAGCCAAAAATAATACAAAAGCCAATATAACACATTTCATCTTAAAATCTTCTTTTTTGTGGCTACCCTACTGCCCCCAAATGTTATTCTAATTTTGTACCATATAGTGCTTAAGAAAATGAACTAGAACAAAGCAGCCCCTTTGTCCTTTTTCTTTTTTTTTTACATTTTTTACACACGTATTATATATACAATTTTTAAAATAGCTGCACAATTTTATTTCTCATTGTTAGAGAAGTGCAGTCCAGGCAGACCATGCTTCTCAATATATTAAAAATATTAAATAAACCCCAACCAGTTTCATACTTTCCTAATGGTATCGAAAGGGGATTGGAGAAAAAGCAGGCAATTGTGGATACAATCCATCTTCTTTAAAAAGCACACCACCTCAGAATCTTGTTATTTCATTATCTTATCCTTTTGACAGCATCCCTAACTCTTACCTTAAAGCTGGAAAGAACACATTGCTAGCTTAGAGACAAGAATCTGTTGCAACACGCATATGCCAACTGCCCACTCAACCAACTGCAGCCCTGAGGATTTTCCTGGCCCAGCGGAAAGAGGAAACACTAAAGTGATCTCTGTTGTAGAGCTGCTTCTTCAGCTAACAACTTTCATGTTTTTCAGGATGTTTTCTTGGGCATGCACATATGACACTGTCACTTCATGATTCTAATTTCCACAAGTAGATTTCTTCTCCATTGTCTCTGATTCCAAGAAAGCCACTATCATCCATCCAAAGGTTTTCCAAGGTAAACCAAAGTCACCTCTGTGTTGCCATATACAGCAGAAACTGCTGGATATAAGCAGACCTTTGGAAGTCCTCGAAAGGCCACCCCCAGGAACTCGTATCCACGTTCAAAAGCTAAAGTCTTATCCTCCATATCCAAGATGACTCGGATTCTCTCTCCTATCTGCAAACAGACAATAAAAGGGATTAGAAGAAAATCAAGGGCACAGCGAGGACATGACACAAGAAGCTGAAAATACCATTAAGAAGTATCTTAAAAGGTATTCAGAAAGCTTTCTGGTCAGGAAGAGACATCAAGAATATATATCATTTTCAACATGAATGCTTACTGGTCTTTTTTTTAAAGACTCACAGGAAATATACATTTAATTATTAACAATTTAAATGCTCTTCAAATTTCAGATTTTGTTCACCACTGGTTAAGGCTTTTCTGAAGGAAGTTAGCAGTAAAATTTATCTTGGCATATTTTACCAAAATGGTCATCTAAATACCTTTTTTTTTTTTGGCAGAACTGGGGATTGAACTCAGGCCCTTGTGCTCACCAAGGAAGCGCTTATCCACTGAGCCATCTCCCCGGCCCCCTAAATACCTCCTGATTAGTGAGTACAGAGTTGATGTTGCAGATGATGAAAAAGTTTTGGATATAGAGAGCAATGATTGCTACACACATTGTAAACATATTTAATGTCATTTTACACATATAAAGTAATATATGTTATGCATGTTTTACCATAATAAAAAATTATAATAAAAACACATAGGTTTTAATGTCTACAAACCAGTTCCATATACAATGTGGAATTTATGTAATTATGAATAATCAAATAGTTTAATTCTACATTTAATACACTTATCCAATGGTCTATTGCTCTTTAAAGAACATTAGTGCTAAAAAAAAAGAACATTAGTGCTTTTTTTTTTTTTTTTTTTGCAGTACCAGGGATTGAACTCAGGACCCTGTGCTTTATTCTACTGAACTATCTCCTCAGGCCCATGCTGACTGTTAAACAAACTAGAAACTCTATAATACAGTCAGCTCTTTTCACATTATGAAAAGCAAAGAAACAAGGGTGCTTCATGCTTATAGTTTGCCATCTATAATGTTGCATCTATATATTTAGAGAAAGTTTTAACATACATTTATTTATTCTTATAGGGGAAAGTGTAAACACAGTACCCTGCTACCATAAATTATGCAATCGAGTCTCCCGCATTTGGGGAAATCGCAGGGGTCAGCACATACAGAGTACAATGGATGAGCCTCGCCCTGTGAAAACCACCTTCGTGATCACGGTGTCTCCCCTGCCAGGTAAGTATAGAAAGTTTTAGCTTTTCTTTTTCTTTTTTTAAAATTTTTATTCATTTTTAAATTTTTTTAAAGTTTTAACTTTTCAATCAAAAATTAAAACGTAGGGCCGGGGGATACAGCTCAGTGGTACAGTGCCTACTTGGCAAAGATGTGAATTCAATTCCTGGTACCAAAAATAAAAGTAACACTTCCTGATTATGGTAACTTCTGGTGTTGTTACTTACTTTCCTTTATTGTCTTTCTTGTCATAAATAACTGCGAACATTTGGATTTTTTCTTCCTTTTGTCCAGCTCCGAGATTAATTCCCACCTTATTTTAATGAACCTACCCTCACTAGTGTGATCAACAAAACATGCAAACAAAAAGGAAACAGAAATGAAATGCTAATATTTTGTTGAGTAATCATTTTGGATTTTATTTATATTTACTCCTCTCCTCAAGCCCAGGAGACCTTCCAATTTACAAAAGACAAGACTAAGAAGCAGAACTAATCCTGCTGGAATTTGCAATTCATCTCTGAGCACTCAAGCAGCAGGAAGCATAGAGCAGGAGTTTCACTAGCTTTCAGTGTCACCTGTAAATAAACCCTAAGGATGGCAGAATCCCTGTAAACTATAAGAAGGAACCCCAGAAGCAAGAGGACCCTGAAATGATGACCCTCCCACTCTGAGAAACAAACTGCTGAAATTCTTGTGAGACTACAATGATTACACACATATAGGAGAAATCCCCAGGGAACCAGGCCAAAAAAGCAGAAAAGATGAAAAGACTAGAAGCTGAAAAAAAGAGGCAAATACATTAGCTGCTGGACACCACATGAGTTTATACAGTTCAGTCCAGGCAATTTATCTGCCCACCACCGAAAAAGAAGCTATAATTTTCAGAGAATAAAGCTGTTCCTAGACAAACAAAACAACCCTGAGTTACTAGTCTATACAAACTACCTGTCCAGTTTTCAATCAAAAAAAAAAGAAGAAACAGAAAAGTATTATTTCATAAGGAGGTGGAGGATAGGGTAACAGACTCTGAGGTGTCTAAGTGCTATATTTGGCAAAGACTTCAAAGTAGCTATTAATAGAGCCGGGGAGACAGCTCAGTAGAATAAGTGCTTGCCTGGCAAGTGCAAGGGCCTGAGTTCAATACCCGGTTCCACCAAAAAAAAAAACAAAAACAAAAAAAAAAACAAAAACAAAAAACAAACTGGGCATGATGGCACATGTCTGTAATCCCATAATCCCAGCTCTTGGTAGACTGTAAACAGGTGGATCACTACAAGTCTGATCTAGCAGTGAGACTCTGAACACCTTGTACACTCTTCCCTAAAATACAAAAAACCAAAACAAACTATTATTAATATGTCTAAACAATTAAGGAAAAATACAGTATTTATGAAGTGACTAAATAGGGAATCTCAAGGAGGAAAAAAACAAAACAAAACTATAAACAAGAGACCAAGTGAACAGCCAAATAGCTCAGTGGATTAAAGTGCCTACTTAGGCAGATACAGGGGCCAGGGGGAAGCTGAGATGGCAATTGAGATTGAGCGTGGTGGCGCACGCCTGTAATCCCAGCACTTTGGAGGCTGAGTCTGATCTACGCAGTGAGACCCTGTACACCCTGTCCTAAATACAAAAAAAAAAAAAAAGAAAGAAAGAAAGAAAAGAAACTAAGTGAAAGGACTAGAACCAAAGAGTACAATAACAAAAATTCATTAGCCTAGTTCAAGAGCAGGAGTGAGACAACAGAAGAATAATGCAATAAATTTAAAAGAAATTATCCAAATTATCTGAAACAAATAATACAAAGAAATATGGAATGGGGAGGGGGGATGATAACCTAAGAAACAGAACGACAAGGACACCATCAAGCACACCAACAATTACATTAAATGTAAAAAGACTAAACACTTCAAAAGGCAGAGATTGTGAGACTGGTTTAGATGCAAGACCCAACTACATGTTAGGGGCTCCACTTTAAATATATGACAGTCTGAAAGTAAAAATGAGGGTGTGAAAATACTTTGTAACTATTGGCCTAACAAAACTGGAGTAGCTGTACTAAAATCAGAAAAAACAGATTTAAAGAGAATATTAGAGTAGAAAACAATTATTTCATAGTGATGAAAGAGCTAATCAGGCAGAGAGATATAATAATTAGAAATATTATTATAATAACTGATCTGTTTACCTATGAAAGAACTGTAATATAAAAGACTTGAACCTTATCAACCAATTAACCAACTGTCATGAAGAGAATATTCCATCCAACAGAATACACTTTTTTTAAGCACATGTGGAACATTCATCAGAACAGACCATATGCTAGGAATAAAACAAATCTCAATAAATTTAAAAGGACTGAAATCACAGCATGTTTCTAAGGACTTTTCACTATAAAATCATCACAAAGGTAGTGGTAGGACTTCATCTGCCATGTTTATTAAATCTAGACACCCTTCTGTAGGATGTTTGCAAAATCTAAAAGAACACTGAGGAAAGGACTCCATGAAAGAAAACCCAGGTTTTCTACCTCAGGAACTAGAATAATTTTTAGTTCTTCTTTAGTATGCCTAATGAGATTATCATGGAGAGCAGAGATTTCCAGATACATGCAGCTCTTAAACATGCAATTTGTAAGTCCTTAAGACTTCTGGGGCTGGGGAGATAGCTTGGCAGTCTAAGTGCCTGCCTGGCAAGTGCAAGGACCTGGATGCGATCCCTGGTACCACATGCTGTGCCAGCCCTGCACCCAGCCAGCCACTGAAACCAGGAGTAGTGGCACATGCCTATAAACCCAGAACTGGAGAAGATGAGACAGGAGGATCACTACGAGTCTGAACTGTGTAGTGAGACCCTTCACCAAATAAATAAATAAATATTTTTAAAAAAGAAAAAAGATTTCTGCTTTCTTAACAAATTGTTGTGTTTTACACTCCACCTGTACTGTGGCAATACTTCTTTTAGAAATAGGAATTATAATCTGATTTTTGGTACAAATGAGTACGGGTTAATGCTAAGATGAAAAGAATAAAAAATTTTGTAACAGTTTGCTGGAACTTGCTTGTCTTTACAGCAATTGTTAAATCCACAAAGATTAATAAGCAACTGAGTATGAGCATGCACGTTATGTATTCAAGTACATTTGTTGGGATGAATGATTTAGTTAAATGAAAAAAAGATTTACATGTGGCACGACACAGGAAACATGACAATTTCAAGCAAGAGCTGGCAAACTGCAGCCCCTGGGCCCAATCTACAATAAATAAGCCCATATATAAAAACATAAATATGGGGCTGGAGAGATGGCTCAGTGGTCTAAAGCACCTACTTGAAACAAGCTTGGCAAAGCAGAGGGACCGCGGTTCAATCCCCAGCACCACATGCCAGCCAGCCCCGCCCCCTGGTGGGCTGAGCTGGCCACACACACACAATAAATAAATGTAATAAATAAAAATAAATAAATATTAAAAAAAAAAAAACATAAATAATCACAGTCACAATCACGTTCATTTTCTCACATAGACTAACGATCTGATTTCATGCCGTAACAACAGAGTTTAAAGTTGTGACAGAGAGCACATGGACTTCAAAGCCTAACACATTTACTTTCTGTCAAGAGAAAGTCACCAATCCCCAATGTGCAGCAAAGATGGCTCTCAAGATCAAATATACATTAGGAAACAGATACTGAGATATACCACATACTATTTATAACCCAAAACAACGAAGTCATAGATAGTAAATAAATATTTGGAAATTTAAAACAAATGAGCTGCGAGTTGATAAAGGCCTATAGTTGAACAGACTCAGTGTCTTACCTGGTATTTTGGAGCATTGTTGCACTGTGGGAAACTGCCATTGACTTCCCCATTATGTAGTAAATTATTGTCCACCAGATTCCAGCCCCAACTCTGGTCGTCACTGCCCAACAATGCCACATAACCTTGGCACTGCATGGGGGCCCGCTTCGTGGCAATTCCAATCACTGCCACGGTGCCTAAAGGGCCCTCCCACCACACTTCCCATGCATGGCGGCCCTCACTGAAACCGATCTTGGTCCTTGCACCATCAGTGCTCTGAGCGATGGGATTTCGATGTAAGGTAAAGCCATTCTTCTTAATATAGACATTCCTGGAGCAGTCATTAGTGCTGAAGGCATGTTGGAAAGCACGTACCTGAAGGTAAGAAACAAACAAAAGGAGAAATTTGATTTGTCTTAAGTATTAAAAGTATTCAAATTTCATACATGTTTTTAAATAATGGCATTATATATTTTTAAGTAACACATTAAGTATTTCCATATAATGGCTAAGGTTTCAGGTTTCATGAGCTACTAATAAAAAATACTGTATAACATTAAAATAAAAATAACTCCAGACCAAAGCCAGGTACAATGGCCCCATAGTCCCAGCTGCTGGGAGTGGGGAGTTGCTGAGGCAGGAGAGGAACCACGTGAACTAGGAGACCAAGACCAGCCTGGGCAACACATTCAGACTGTCTTCACAAAGAAACAACTGTCAACACTCTTACCACTGACCAAATTATAAACTACTATAATCCTCCAAATAAACAATACATTAAAGAACCATGTATAGTGGCTCACATCTATAATTCCAGTGCTCAGGCAGCTGAGGAAGGAGGATTGCCATGAGTTGAAACCTTGTCTCAGAGGAATAACAATACAAACAAACATTCAAAGGTACATAAAAGAATCTTTATATCTTACAGATCATACTAAAATGTTTATGGCTGAAATAAGGACACATAGGAATAAAATACCCAGTAGAAGAGTATAAGGGTGAACATGAAGTTAGATTTGCCTCGAGTCATTGGTAAAGCTTGGTGATAAGTATGGGGAAGTTCATCAACTAATTTTCTTACTTTTCTTTACATTTGATATTGTTATATCAAAAAGAAAAATGTGCTTTTCTCATACTGGCAAAGCTACTGGCAATAAGGACTGTATTTTGGGACTATGTATGTAGCTCAGTGTGGCACACTTGCCTTCGTAGGTCAGTAGGTGCAAACCTATGACCACTGTGAGCCACAGTGTGCAAGCCAAGTTGCTCCAGCATCTCATCTCCCTAGCAGCCAGAATCAGATATTCAGGTTTAATTAGTGTTGACACTCTGCAATAAATAAATGGGTTTTGGGGCCTGGGAGATGGCTCAGTGGAATAAGCACTTCCCTGGCAAGTGCAAGGGCCTGAGTTCAATCCCCGGTTCCGCCAAAAAAATAAAAATAAATAAATAAATACAAATAAATGGGTTTGGAGTTGCAGTTTGGGCAAATGTCTCTAAAAGGTTTACCATCACTGCCCACACAATGTTGTTTCAGTGACCATCCTTCCTCTACTCTTTCAAATTCTCCAAACTCAGTCCTTAATCCTAAATTATTTACAGAGCTGTCTTTCTAAAACACCACTTTATTGTATCTTTTTCCTGTTAACAGTCTTTTAGCAATTCCATATTTAGTACCACAATCAACTATACAGTCTTCTGCCTAGTTTCAAAACCCTTCAGATTGTACTCCTATTTTCTTTTCTCCCTTCCTGTGTGTTGTGTTGTATCTGCTTCTCTCCTCCCACACATCCTCTAACACCACCTCCATGAAGCTATTATTAATCAGGGCCACCTAATCCCATTCACTGGTCTCATGAATTCCTACCCACCATAGTCTGCACCATGTAACAATTTTACAGAGATCATTTTCTAACATAACTTGAACCACTTCTACTTAAACCATACTCTAGGGTGAGGGGGACTAATCAATGGAAAATCTGTAGGAAATATGGAGGACAGAAGAGCATGCTAACACCACAGGAATGAAAATAGTAAAGTGCAGGCAGACAATATAAATTGCAGCAGAGGGAGGAGACAATCTATAGAATAAAATAGCCTTCTGGGACCTATCAGCTGTTTGCCATAGGTACTTTTGTAGATCTCAATTAAATAAACTATAAATTAAAAATAAAGCATTTGACATTTACTAGACAACTGAAAATCAGAACACTTTATATTTTCTTATTTTTGTTTTTG